AAGCACACCAGCCTGTGTGACCACAAGCTGTTGAAGGGATCAGGTATCAAGCATCAAAGAACAAAAAAATCATATTGTAAATGTGGGTGAGTGCAGAGTGGAGACTCAAAGCCCATCGATAGGCAACTGGACACCCTCTTACAATCATGCAGAATTTGAAGACTCAAGTTCTAAATTTTTCTCTGTAACTAATTAAGTTCTTAGGTAAAACTTAGAAAAACCCCAAATAAATTTCTATCTTTGATCAAATAAAACCAATACTTATGCATTCACACATTTACTAAGACTCAGTTTCTCATGTTGTGGTGACCCCCCAACCATAAAATTATTTTCGTTGCAACTTCATTTTGTCATTTTGCTACTGTTATGAGTTGGGCAACCTCTGGGAAAGGGTCATTTGATCCCCAAAAGAGTCACGACCCACAGGTTGAGAACTGCTGACCTAGAGGAATTAATACCAAACTAGTTCCAGTGAGCTGGAAACTGAAGAAATCCAACTCTTCCAAGATACTAATTTGTTCCTCCACACCCTGTTTTCCCCTTGAATATAGTCCACTACATTTCTGGACTTTGTGAAATTGCTTCAGTGTCAGACAGAAACTCTCGAAAAGTTTGAAGAAATGTCTGGCATGCTGGTGGGTGCTTCTCAGTCCAAAATCTGAAGGTCAGGCAGAGCTTAGCCAGATGCTGGGACCCGAGGACGAGCTCTACCACAGGCTTTTGCCAGTGATGCATTCACACCCCTGTTTCTCTGAGAGCTCAAATTATACATAGCAGAGGGAGAGAGAGACCAGGCTTCAATCCAATGTGCCAAGATCTGAATACAACATACTGGCGTGTACCAGGGAACCAATAGAGAGGTCTGCGGGGCCGGGCCCAATCCCAACTATGTGGACACTGTCCGCCCTCAGAAGAATGCACTTCAGAGGGCAGCACTGGGGCTGATTAGAGCACACGGGAGAAATGAAAAGGGATTGAGAAAGAGGGGAGGACATCCTGGCCCACCAAACCACGGGGACAATATTCCTGATTAGAGAAGACAACGCACAGAGCGGACCATAGGGCCAGCCCCACCATGAGACATGACGTCCCTCACTAAACCACAGCA